GTAGAAGGGTGGGGATCTTGTACTACACAAACGAGGGCACCCGCATCCTTCTCATCACCCGTCATGAAGGCCGACTCGTGCGAAGGTAAGAGTGAGTTTTCTCGTGTTTAGAACGCTCCACCACCATCACCACCACCACCAGGACTCTGCGACGATGAGCAACAGCAGCGATAGCTTTGCTTCTTGTCGGCTCGCAGGTCTCGATCACTATCACCGGATTATTCATTTCTGTTTATCGGCATGGTGGTGCATCTACCTCCTCACTGACGAGGGTTCGAACCTGGAACCTGCCATTGACACCATCCCGTGCGTCATTATATCTATCGTCGGAATTGCGTGCATGTAAACGTGCTCGGTCGTAAGTCATGTCTGCACGCTTTCTTGTTTGTACCTTTTTGCCGTACAGGGCCGTACCCGTTTGGTCTGGACCCCATATGGCATGGCACCAAGACGGAGCTCCCCTTTTTGAACTCCATGAAGATGAAGATGTCCATCCTGCTGGGGGTGACCCACATGAACCTGGGTATCATCATGTCGCTGCTGAACAACAACTACTTTAGGTGCGGCTTGTCGTGTCTGTACGTGTGTTTGTACGTGTGTTTGTATGTGTGTTTGTATGTGTGTCTGTATGTGTGTTTGTATGTGTGTCTGTATGTGTGTCTGTATGTGTGTTTGTATGTGTGTCTATTGGTTACATATCGATCCAGGCCTGACACTGGCCGAGAGCACCTAACCGTACCCGAAAACGGGAACGACCGCCGAAGTGCTCTCCTCGGGGCGAAGGGGGGGAGGAGGACATGAGGGGCCACTATCCCCTCTTGCTCGACAGAGCGCGTGCACCCCCGCGTTTCCCCCTTTTGTTAAGAGGAAAGAGAGCGCGGTGGCTACCAAGGCCTTCAAACAGCCAACCCCAGCACGCGCGGCGGCACAGTGTGTCTGTGTGTACATGTTTTTTCTTCGTGTATGAGAGGCCATGTGTGTTGACATGTATTGTATTATTTCTGTGGTGGGGCTCCTGCTGAAGTTGCTGCTGCTGGCCAAGAAATCCCTCCCCAGCGCTCCCTCTCCTCTGAAGCCCCCGTCCCCGCCCCTGCTTCCTGGCCTGCTCTGCCCCCACCCCCGCTCACCCCACCTCCCCTTTGATGGGCTCCTCAGGGACCGGCTGTCCACTTGGTGCGAGTTCGTGCCCCAGATGATATTCCTGAACGGTCTGTTCGGCTACCTGTCGGCCCTCATTGTGGGCAAGTGGGTGTCTGGATCCATGGTGGATCTGTACCACGTGATGATTTACATGTTCCTGAGTCCAGGTGGGTGCGTGCATGTATATATGTATGTATGTGCGTGTATGTGCATATTGCATATGTATGTCTGCGTGTCCCCAACCCTATTGCGATTCACTTAACCTTATTCCTACCCTCTTTCCTTCCCGGTCTCTTCCCTCCTGCTGCATTGCACACACACACACACACATACACACACACATACACGTACGCATACACAGGCACGGTGGACAAGGCTGGTTTCCTGTTTTCGGGACAGAGTGGAGTTCAGGTGCTGCTGCTGTTGGTGTCGCTGGTGGCGGTCCCGTGGATGCTGCTGCCCAAGCCACTCATTCTCAAGAAGCGAGCGGAAGCAGCGAGCAAGGTGGGTGGGCTGTGTGGGTCAGGGTGTGTGTGTGGATGTGGATGTGGATGTGGGAGGAGGGAGGGCATGAGAGGAAGTGGGTAGGTTCAAAAGGGGGTCCTAATGAAGGGAGGGGGAGGGGGGAGCTTCCCTTTGCATCGCAGGTGAGTGTTGTACCTCGTGATGAATGTCCCCCACCTCCCGCCCACAGAACCCCCCAAGCGCTCTTTTGGACGTCTCGGCAATGGATTGCTTGGTGTTGCTACCCCGTGTAATGCCCCGCCCTTCCCCACCCGCACATCTTCGGACTCCTTGAGCGGTTTTGGTACTTTGGACGTCAGTGGCAGCGGGATCTTTTTTCTTTTGCGTCTTATATTTCCCCCCTTTCCTCGCCTTTCCTCCCCGGCACCCGTTCCCTTCGCAGGTTCGCGGGGAGTACCGGAGGTTGGACCGGGATCACGAGGCCGCGCACGACAGTGGTGGCGATCACGGAGGTCACGGAGGGCATGGAGGACATGGCGACCACTTTGACTTTGGCGAAGTCATGGTGCACCAGGTATAGCATTCATTTCGCGTGGTAACAATGTTTGTGTTTTGGTCTGCTGCTTTTGTGGTGGTGCGCTTTGGTATTTGTTTTGCTGTCTCTTGCGTACAATACACGCGCGCGAGTGTGTATTTCTCCCATTTGTGTTTTTTGTTTTATGGAACACTTTGATGGGCCACCGTCCTGGGGCACATTGCCGCGTCTCCTGGGGTACAGACGGTTTCGGTCTGTTTGGTGCCCCTATCTTTTCTTTTTCCTTTGTCCGCACCGCTCTCCGTTTCTATTCGGCAACAATCAATCGGCCCCGCCCCACCATCCGCCGTGTGTGTACTGCAACGCAGATGATCCACACGATTGAGTTCGTACTCGGTGCTGTATCCAACACTGCTTCGTACCTACGTCTGTGGGCCCTATCCCTGGCTCACTCGCAGCTGTCGGCCGTGTTCTACGACCGAGTGCTTATGATGACCATCGAGGTGTGTGTCCGTCTGTATGTATGCCTGTTTGCCTGAAAATATACCTGTAGGCGGATTGCATGTTTTTGTGTGCGTATATGTATGTTGTTACAGGGTGGTTAACTTCGCCAGCGGCCCCCTTTCCCGGGGCAGTCCCTGCTCTCCCCTGCTAGAGGGGCACCCTAATCCGTCACCCCATCCGACTTCGGAATGTATTCGTTGGGTTCGGCAACTCACCACCAGCATCCAACCAAATCTAGCGGATCAACGGCGCATCAACTTAGTTCCTGGTCAGCTCGCAAGTTGATATTATCACGTCCTACACCGTCCATATGATGGGGGGCCACCTCCCATTTCATCACTCCTCAAACACCCGAGGAGCCGGCAGGCGGATTTGAACCCGGGTCGACTGGGTCGACTGGGAGCAGAAGTCAGGCCTTAACCTCTGCCAGCCGCCTGCCTATATGCGTATATGTATGTATGCATGTCTGTGAAGTGTCTGTGGCTGTCGTAGATGTTTCGATTCGCTAAGATCTGTCGCACCTAGATTGCTGTTAGCGCGTGTGATGCATACTCCCATATTACCCCGAGTTCCTACCCCGTTAATCTTTTTGCGAACAAACAATAAATACGACTCGTTTCTCACCTTTCCTGGCCCTGTCCCCACCCCTCTTAATAGCCCTCTCTCCCTCCCCTACTTCCCCATTCTCCCCGCGGGCCCTCCTGATGACACATACATACATACATGCATACATACAGCTGAACAGTCCGTTTGCCATGGTTGTGGGATTCTTCGTGTTTGCCGTGGCCACGCTCGGTGTGCTGATGGTGATGGAGTCGCTTTCGGCCTTCTTGCACGCGCTGCGTCTCCATTGGGTGGAGTTTCAGAATAAGTTCTACCGGGGTGATGGATACTCGTTCGCGCCGTTTGCTTTTGGCGACGCGGCGCACCAAGGCGGCGGCGGGGGCTCTGCGGACGAGTGAACAGATGGGTGCCCGCGGCTCTCTGACCGTCCGCAAGTATAGGCGTACATCTTTTTGCAAGTGTGTGCAGATGAGTTTTGGATTTGGTGAATTGCGAGTATATGTGAGTGTGGTCATGATACTGATGATGTTGATGGTTTATGTGCATGTCATCTCCGTATGTGATGTGTGACGTTATGGTAATTTGTATGGATGGGGGTGGAGGCTGACTAGCGGAACAGTTGGATGAGCTGGGTGCTGGGCGGACGTGTGCGGGAGGAGACCGGGAAAAGGATATCCTGGGTATGAGGTGCACAAAACAGGAAATAAGAGCAGGGAAGGGATGGAAGGACATACCCTTCATTACAGTGGGAAGGAGGATTGGGGCGTGTGGCGAACAAGGGCGGGCGCACGACCCGTTTGGTCATTTAACCACGCGGGACGCCTTTTTCGAGGCTTGACTTTGGAAGAAGGGGTAGAAGAGGCCGTGGTGGAGTTGGAGCGGGCCCGGACGATGCCCGAGCGGGCCCGGACGGGCCCGGACGATGTGTGCAGCTGGATTGAGGGATGTGTGCCAAGACAAGGAAAATGGATGTGGTGCTTGGAAGACGGCGGAAGGACTGATAACGGTGAACTTGGTTATGTGCTGGTGTGGTGCGTTGTCCTTGTGAAAGGGAAGTAAACAACAGTGGTAGTTGTGAGGACTTAAAAAAAGTACGTGTATACCGCAAAGAGGTTGGAAAAGAGGCGATGTCCACCCCTGCTCTTTAAGTTATTTTCTCGCACAGTCCGCTCTTCATGCAGCCAACTTGGGGAAGGTGTTGGTAGATGTCGAAGTTGTGTACACAAATATTATTATCTATCGCTTGCAATTGATGTGATATTCGTATTAGTAACACGCGATGGGTTTTGCCAAGTAGCCGTGAGCATGTTACCTTCTCGGCATGGCACGGCACGGTGGTTGGGTGAGAAGCGAATAAATAGGTGAGCTGTGCAGGGATGCGGCAGGTACGCAAGAAATGTCTTTCCCCTCACAACGGAAGATGCCTGTAACGGAACTGATTTGTTAAACATATAAGGCGAACAATTACGACCAAATACCAGCAATTATCACTACACTTAGCGTATACGTATCTTTCGTCTCCAAGACCTTCATACTGTGCCATAATTGTTAAGATGCTGTACATCTCACCTCCTGCAACCGACATATCGTTTTATATTGTCCCTCCCTGCGGAGCAGCCGATGCAGCGAACTAGGCTATACGTACGCCGGTCCTCATTGCCCATGGCTAAAACCCTCCATCTCCATGAAAATGCATCCTACGTAAGCGCGCCGTGCATGCCAGTGATAGATGCGTACGTGGCTGTAACCGCTCACTTGGGGGAAGCTTTTAATCGGGGGTTATTACCCCCTCTCCCCTCCGTGCCTTGCCCCCTGTTTACATATTCCAATTCCCCTGTATGAATCTCATCACATGTCACCCATCCTCTCAGCCGGATGAGCTGTCTTTACCTGCCTGCCTACCAAACTAAAACACTATACACGACAGCGGTCCCTCACCAGTGGGTGGTCCGTCTGATCCCCCACCGGAACCAGACCAGGTAGGAGGGTTTGTTGTTAAGTCGCCCGTCGGTACACGAACAGCGGCGCTCGCGTACGACCTGACAAGCCTGTCAGCGGGCCCTGCTCTTGCACTGCCGTTGCTGCTGCCGCTACTGGGTCCGCAACACTGTCCGAAGCTACGCCGTGTGCGGTAGTCGCCCCATCCGGTCCCGTCCCCCCCTCGCTGCGGTCATGATTGACGACCCCTCCGTCCGCCATCGGATCATCCTGCTGCTGCTGCTGCTGCTGCGCCCCAACAGCCCTACTCGCCGTTGGCTGCCTCTTCTCCAGAGCCATGGCGGCCAGATCCCCAGCCACAACGTCCTGAACGTCACGCGTGCGAGGGGTGGGGACGGCGGGAGGGAACAAGGACCAGGATAGGGGCAGGACAGGGGGAGAGAAGCAGCTTTACGAGGTTGGGTGATGACGAAGTTGGCAGCGATGCATGTCCGTGTGTGTATGAATGTATGTGTGGCGTAAATTACCGGCACTGGGCCCGCAGCTGTAACAGCAATTCGCCAGCACCCCATTGCTGCTGACTAACCGATCGATCCCCAGACGGGGCCTCGGGTGGGTGAGCGCAAACACGCCAGATCGACCAGGCCAGCAGTCAAGTCGGTAACGAATTGGGCAGACAGACAGACAGACACACAGGGGACCAGTCAAGCAAGCGGCGTCCAGGAGCATAAAAAGGTCAGGCAGCACATATCAATCCCAACCCACCACCACCAGCTATCCGGACGTGCACCCGGAGGGGGGAGCAGCCACACGGCACATTTCCCTCCCTTCATCCCGACACCATCCGGCCATCCCGGACGGCTATTCGGAAAGCATCTCTTTCACACCGCTCCCTTGGGCGTCCGGATGTTCGCTACTCCGCTGTAGTAACCGCCACCACCACCAACCAGCCACGATCATCTCCATGAACCGCCGTATGCACATATCTGCGACTTGTCTTCCTGTTTGTCTTACCGCGCTGCAGCCACCATCAACACTTCTGCCACCAATGTTGCCGGTTGCAGCCGCATCCGCGGTCTGGTTGTCACACGCGGTTGTGGCCGAGGGGGTACTGCCGCCGCCGCCGCCGCCGCCGCCGCTGGTGTCGTTGTTGCCATCGTTAAGCAGCGCCAGGGGGTCAACAACCACACGACCCGTGCCGCCGCCGCCTCGCCGCCTGGGGGGGGCCGCCGCCACGGCCACTCTCCCCGGCCCCTCCCGCGCTGAAGACGACGGCTGCGAGCTTTGTGGTTGCGTTTGGTCGCCACCGCCACCGCCTCTGTCGCCTGTTGCGGCGGAAGCTGCGGCAGGGCCCGATGACGGCTGGGTTGCCGCTGCAGGAGAGGGCTCTGCTGCTGCTGCTGCTGCTGTTGCGATTGGTTTTGCTGCTGTTCCCGCTGGTGGTGATGGCGATGGCGATGGGTGTAGCGGCGGCAGTAGGGCCGCGTCCTGGACAGAGGTGGCACCAGAACCGTGGGACGCCACACTCTTTTGGTCTCCGTGACACGTAGCACACACGAGCAAAGAACAAGAACAACAACAACAACAGCATCAACAGAGATAACAACAGAGGCAACGAAAACAAGTAGGCAGTAAAGACCCCTCACGGTGATCAGCAGCACCAGCAGAAGCAGCACCAGCAGTGGCGGGGGTGGTAGAGGAGAGGCGAAGAATACGAAGGTTTACAGGGCCGAGAACCCACAGCCCTACATACGTCCACTCACACTGCGTACACACCACCACCACCACCACACTACATCACCCACCCAGGGACCAACCTGAGGCTCTCCCCCCAGCGCCACCGCTCCGAAACCGGGCCCCGCTGCCAGGGCCAGCACAGACACCCCTGGGCCCAAGGGAGGGCGCATCACGCAGCGGGGCTCACCTGCACCTCCCCCACCTCCCCCACCTGCCCCACCTGCATGCACACACACACACACCGGCGTGTGATCGGATGGTCCATCGGGTGATTCAGGGAAGGCCATAAGAAACACACGTCGTCTCAACGGGTGTGTGTACTCGTACATTTTGTACACTAACAGGAAAGTGTCCTCGGGTAATCCACGTCCCGGCAATTTCCCCTCCCCTTCACCTCGTTGCCCTGGCTCGTATCCGTACACTGCGCCGTCCCGACATGCCACCAACCACATGGGTCGCTCCTCCTCCTCCTCCTCCTCCTCCTGCTGCTGCTGCTGCCGCTGCCGGGTGTTTACCGGGAGGCCTTGTCGTGGAGCTGCTCCGTCACCACCGGATGGTGGTGGTAATAGTGGTGGTGGTGGTGGTAATGGTAGTGGTAATGGTGGTGGTGGTGGCAGGTAAGTTACAGCTAGGGGTGATGCAGGAAGCGGCCGCGACGACACCAGCTCCAACATGCGCACGTCCTGCCACCGGTATCCGCCGGAGGTTGGCGAATTGGGTTTTAGGTGTTAGGGTCGGGTGGGGTGGTGGGAAATATTGGGGGGTCTTGCGGTGGGGTGTCTGACTGGGGTGTGTATGTGGGGGGGGACATATGCCAGGAAGTGGAAGTGAACTGCCAACGGAAGGCGTCCAAGATTTGAAACTGCCCAGAGAGTCCTAAGCAGCGATGAAGTCACCGACGCATGGTTCCGGAAGTAAGGGAAGGGGGCGGGGAGGAGAGGGGCTAAGCTAGGGGCTCCCCAAGTAGTCCGGAAATGGAGGTAACCACGCACACAAAACACGCACTCCTGCACACACGCGCACACGTTCCCTTCAGATTCCCCCCCACCCCGCATCCCACTTCCCCCCACACACCAGCTCCATCAGTCGGCCCTCCCGGGAGCAAACCCCCAGCAGGCTGCCGTCGTCGGAGAAGGCACAACCCGTCAACATGGGCTGTCCAGGCAGGGCCAGCTGACCCGCCCACTCCAAGTGACCCGTGGGTCGCAGACTCCATAACCGTACGACACCGTCGCAGCAGGCCGCCGCAACCAGGGAGCCCGCCCCCCCGGCGGGTTGGCGGCTGACCCCGAATATGTAGGCGGGGCGGACTCCGGACCTAATCGCGTCTGGAGAGGCAAAAGGGGGGGGCCGAGGATGTGTTACCCTTACCCGTGTTCAGAAGGGGCTTGTGGGGGTTTGTGTGGGACAGGCATTATGGGTGTCAGTACGAATGCGGGTACGTGGGTGCGTAACAGCTAGGGTTATGTGGGTGGGTGGGGTGGGGTGGGGGGAGAGATGGGGCCCGGTAGCCGACGTGTTTCATGCAAGCATATGGACAAGAACATGTCTTGCAGCGCGGATACCCTTTCCAGCCTGATCAGCATGAAAGTGAATCAGCATGACTGACCATCATGCCCATCATATCAACATCTTGCGAGCTGACCAGGAACTAAGTTGAGGCGCCGTTGATACG